TGAATCCTTCACTACGAATCTGAGCAACACCTTGCTCCAAAGACCTCTAGAAAACTCTCTCACGGATTCTGCAGCAAGGACTTCACTCACACAAGTGCAGAACCCATTTCCTCCCTTCCCACACTTGTAGATCTGCCCAAGAGACACATGGCCCCCTTGATCCACAAAGAAACACTTAAACAATGCAAAAGGAAGAGATCTGCCCCGCTCCTCTCGGACCCAGGACCCAACATATGGGTCTGAGCATATCTCCCAATCTTTCCACGTAAGTCCCACGTGTTTTAGATTCCAAAACGCGAAACAGAACAACTCTCGCGCCGGGGGCGCCCCACATAGAAAACGGCGGCGGGCGGCCATCCACCAGACAGCCACTCTGTCACCAACTTTGACAGTTCGGTTGAACCCCTTCCCGAAGCCGGAATTAGGCGTATGAGTACTCGAATCGAAAGCTAGCTATAAGTTATTTTCCAATGAAAACGAATTTCAATCCAAAATATTAATTGTATAAAAAGTTATAAATAAATAGTAAACCATGTCAAATTTTGACAGCATTCTATTTTACACTACAACTTGAAATTTTTTACAACTTGGTAAAATTTTGAGTTTTACAAGGGTCTTACAGTCAGACTCATTGGCTACCGATCGGTCTCAATCAGCTTTCCCTCCGTTCGGTCTCGACAATTATGGAGCAGAGTTAATGCACAATGAATGTGATAACGGCTACCGTTCAACAATTAAGGTTTGATAGACATTAGGAGGTGGTAAAATGAATGTGTCAGATTCCTTTAAAACTCTTATCAATAAGGGTTTAGGGTTTAAGGTAAAAGACCGATTCACTTCATACTACATACGTCTATTTACATAGTATAGGATGTCAATATTTTAACTGTAGCAAACAGTTCATAAACCGCTCCTAACTTGAGCGTCGGAGTGCCTTTTGCAGGTACCTCTCCTCATTCCACAACCGAGCGGGCAAGATTGAAAGTGACCGATCGGTCCAAATGGGAAGCAGGGAGGCGGATCGTGTCAGTCGGAGGCACCCTCCCTCGCGGCTTGGACAAAGAAAAGAGTGAAGACAGCACAACTGTACATCGAAGCAGACAACTTGGAATGTTTTGGATTAGGATTCTAAATCCTGCCGAAACATTTTGGCGCCCACCGTGGGGTCGAACGACATCCCGTAAAAAAACCACAAGGAACCAAGATCAACGCTCCCTTCGGCCTCTACCAATCCACTCCCATAAAAAGAGTTTGAAGTCTTTACTTTATTGTGATTTAATATATATCTTTTACGTTAACGAATATTATTATGAGAGATTTGAAGCAATAAAAATATAGGATGACACGCCCCCACATTGGAGCGATATCGGGGCGACATCCACCGCGCGCTAGTAAAAAATTGGGTTTTTACAGCGCACATTATGCCACGGTTCACTAGAAACCGCAGCATAATGGTGCGCGGGGTGGCAGTTTGTAAAAAAATCGAAGGAAGAGCCGCGGTTTCAGAGGGGAACCGCCGCAATACGCCAGTGAGAGTCAACCATCCCCTTGACGGCCACGTCTGAAAAAAAAAATTAAATAACAGCCTATTTATGCCGCGTTCTTGGAAAACCGCGGCATATACCCCTGCCAATTTATTGCAGGGGCTGACGAGTCAGAAGGAATTCAGAAGTTACAGGGGGATATGCGCGGTTTCAGAGTAACCGCAACCTATTCTCCGACCTTGAAATAAATTAAAAATGAATTTGGAAATATTTAGAGGAAATAGACCGCGGTTACCCGCCGAACCGCGGGCATTTATGTTAAATAATTTCAAAATGCATCTTATACCGCGGTTGTCCGCCGAACCGCGGCATATAGTTTAAAAATAATTTCAAAAATGCAATCTTATACCGCGGTTAAGTAGTGAACCGCGGTATATTCTCCAGTCAGAGTTAAAAAATAAAACTTTGGAACAGTATCGTCTTGTTCGTGCAGACGCTCATTGGACTTCGAGTTTTCTTCCCGCCGACACCCATCTCAGTTCCCTCGTTTATTCACCGTTTATTTTATTAAACTCAAAATTGTTCGATCATTTCCCATTTGTGACGATAAGAAACAGTTTAGACGATCAAAATCGTTTTGAAACGCCTGTGTCATTCCTCTCGGTGCATTCCCCTTTGGTGCACCAAGCTTTTTCCCGCCCCTGTTCCAGGTATTTATGCCCTTTTTGCATTCTTAAATATGATTTCTTCATTAGTGGTAACTTTAACAAATTTTGAGACTTTAACAAAATTTGATTTTCCCAAATGTTGAATTCTACACACTAATTACTATGAATTGTCTTTTGCAGAGATTCAAGACACTACTATATGCAGGTTGTTTTGTGGTAGTAGATATCACAAAAACAGACCCATGCAATTTTAAAAAACTGCAGGGGAATATGCCGGGTTTTTCTTGGACAACCGCGGCATATTCTGAACATATATATACCGCGGTTATAACCGCGGCCTAAAGTCTCTGACTTACTACCGCGGCTGAATATGCCGCGGTTCGTAAACCGCGACGTATAGTGAAAAATAACTGCGGTAAAAGCCCCTCGCTGCACTAGTGGCGGCTGAGCCAACCACCACTACAGGGCCATCTGTCATCTTCCTCAGCGCGTGATGCCATCATAGCTCCTTCCCACTTAATTTTGTCAGTTAATTGGGGTGCAATATCCTTAATCTGGTCTACCCGACCACAATATATACAACTCATAAGATTTGGTCTTCTTCATGCTTTTCTTAATTTATGATTTATGAAATAATGATTACATGCACAAAAGGCGCACCAGTAAATCCCATTCATAATCATGTGAAGAAAAACTAAAATATTATTTTATCAGGGATCACCTTCGGCACCTGGATATATTGTTTTATTACTTTTTGGTCATATAATTCATTTGATGTTTAACTCTTTCTTTATCGTTCGGCACAGAAGAAAGGCAACCCTCTGGCACATCATGATGCCCAACAATGATGTGGCAAGGAAAAGAAAATAAATAAATAAAGATCAAAACACGTAGTTGAAAGATGATGATGTTCTCATTAACACAAAATTCAATAATGAAATTTGTTTCGGCAGGATTTAGAATCCTAATCCAAAACATTCCAAGTTGTCTGCTCCGATGTACAGTTGTGCTGTCTTCACTCTTTTCTTTGTCCGAGCCACAAGGAAGGGTGCCTCCGACTGACGCGATCCGCCTGCCTGCTTCCCATTTGGACCGATCGGTCACTTTCAATCTTGCCCGCTCGGTTGTGGAATGAGGGGAGGTACCTGCAAAAGGCACTCCGACGCTCAAGTTAGGAGCGGTTTATGAACTGTTTGCTACAGTTAAAATATTGACATCCTAATAAGATGTAAATAGGACGTATTGTAGTATGAATTGAATCTGTCTTTACCTTAAACCTAAACCCTTATTTATAGAGTTTTAAAGGAATCTGACACATTAATTTACCTCCTAATGGGCAATAATGCAAACCTTAATTGTTTAACGGTAGCCGTTATCACATTCATTGTGCATTAACTCTGCTCCATAATTGTCGAGACCGAACGGAGGGAAAGCTGATTGAGACCGATCGGTAATCAATGAGTCTGACCGATCGGTAGCCAATGAGTCTAACCGATCGGTAGCCAGTGAGCTTGGAGTAACACACTTTATTTAGAATATTTCTCTTAAATTAAGTTTTTTATCATTTCTAATATTTTTTTGAACGTATAAAATAATTCATCTTTCTCTTAGTTTATAAAAATATGATTACTTATAAAAAAAAGTATTAATACTAAATATTTTTATTAGTTTATTATAATTGTCAAAAAATTATCCATATATATATATATATATATATAATTCTCTTTTGAAGTCGATTTGGCCTGTAATATCGTCAAATTAATTGAAATCAAGATATTATTGACATTTTTTAGTTAAAATTGATTATAATTGTTTCTTTATGATAATATATGTGGAAGGAATTTTTAGTTGTTATTATTAATTCAAAAATATTAATAATAACAAAAAACAAATTCCAACAACATTGTAAAAATAACTATTATAAATGTTACCTAAGACACTGTGATTTATATCAACCGAAATCAATTGCACTAATGTCTATAAAGAAAACGCTTTGTTATAATTTGATTGAACTTTTTTTCAAAAAACTGTGACAAGAAAAAGTAACATCACATAAAACATGATTGAAAAAAGATTATTAATAACAATATCACTATTAAGTTTTTTAATTTAATAAAAATTAAAATACTTTATCTAGGTGAGAAAATTAAATTTAACAAATTTAATTTATTATATTAAAAGAATTTAAAAAATTAAAATAAACATCAATTCAAATTTTAATGAATTTAAATAAGTGATAAAATTTACTATCAAATCAAAGGCAAGTAACGGTTGAAGGAATGAGAAATTGTCCATTGAGTTTGCTTTAGAAATTCTCTAATAATGACATATATTGTAGCAATCAGACTCATCAAAAACATAGTATATCTTCTCACATTGTCCAAATAAATGCATACACAACCAAACCAATATATAGGATCTCACACAGACAAGCCAAGAGTTTAGAGAAATTACATGTTTCCAACAAAATATGTTGGCCTTACAAACACATATAGCCATAACCAGATGACATCAACTAACTTAGACAAAACACCACAAGGGAGTGTCTTATTAACATCCGCTAATATCATACTATCAAATCACAACTCAAACATGTTGATATGCACCAAGCTCCTTACCCCTAGCTTGAGATATTGATCTAGGGTCACTTTCTAAGTATCATACAGATCAACGAAGGAGTCTTTCACATATTCTTATCTGAAAAATAGTTAGCACACATAATCAATAAAAGCAAAATAGTGATGAATAAATTCTCAATAATAGAGTTCTCCAACTGTAATAACTGTAATGTAATATCCTTCCTTTTGAAAACATAAAGGAAATCATTCACAGAAAAATGAATCATAAGAGAAAGTTTCATCACACAAACATAATTTCATGGCCTCTTATTATGACAATTTGTAGTAAACTTGTAAAATTTATAATGTCGCACCATAGGCAATTTCTTCCATTTGAATTCGAATTAAAGATTCTCATTCATCTGTGAAATTCAATAAATCATTAAACTCTTATATGAAAAAAAAACATTGCATTGCAGCATAATCATGATACTAGTATACCTTTTACATAATAGGATCAACCAACATTCTTGTTAAAATGATAAGTATAGGGACTAACACAAGAAAATCTTTTCAATTGGTAAAAATGTACAGAGTCATCATCCAAGACTTAATATTTATTAATATTTTGATACAATTATTGTTTACTTTTATTCTATATACCAATATATGTATATGAAAAATTCTTTTAGAAGTACTAGTACGTACTTGGTTATTAAACTTTCATAAAAGATTTTATATCTCATAAAGCCAAATGATTTTGTACATAAAAGTCATACAACTATATAAGATAAGATGTACATGAAAACAAAGTTCAATCTCCATCTCAAAAAAGAAAAAGAAGAAAACAAAGCCATAAAGGTGTAGCATTTTGAATAATGTATCTAGAAGTACCTACCTTCAATTGAAGTTTTCTCAAATAACCATGTGAGAATCTTGAAAGGGAAATAAGAAATCCATCGCATTATTAGGTTGCTTGATGCTGAGGGCAAACAGAGAAGAATGTATAGCAACAAAAGCAGAAGAATGAAGATCACACTCAAAATCATAATACTAGTGGCCAACCAACTGAGATCCCTTATAACAAGGTGGACACCAGCCAAGAATGCCACTGATAAGGTTGCAAGAGTGACTCCTAAAACGGGTGTTGCCACATTAAGAGCAAAAATAGCCAAAGTTATATCTCCTAATTGAGCCCAAATGAGTATAATAATGACACTAATACCACCGTACATGGATGCTGTGATGCAGAAAATAAATGGTTTAAACCACACGTGATGTAACATAATAGCCATGCCTTGTTCTGGAGCAGAACTATTAGTTCCACCAGGCAAAGTAAAACCTGCGGCAAATGCTACTGTAGTAATAAGGGTTGAAACCACCATAAGAGTGTTGATTCTGTCTTTATAAAATTCTGTACTTTTGGGTTTTGGCTTGTAGGGGGAAGGGATCTCGATATTCTGCCCTCTTTTAGCATTTTGTACACCAGCAGATTTTAGTAGACACCATGTTAGCCGCTACAAATACAAGTTTGTGTTACAAATTGAACATTCCAATAATGTCTTAACAGAGCTATGATGATGATGATCAATTTTTTTCACAATTTACACAATTAATGTGGATGAAATATACCACCTTACTATATTATGTGAGAGCTAATGAAAAATAAAGCAAAAATAGTTCCTTAATCATTCAAGATGAATTTTAATTGATTAAGAACCTTGTCGAACATATATTACCATAACAGTCACTATAAATAAAAAAGGCATATATTTAAATCTTGAAATTTTAAGTAAAAACAATACTCTATATATACTTGCCTGTGGGAAGGGCGGATTATCTTCTTGTTTAAATTACTCAAAAACATCGAGAGATGTTTGAATGTTGTTGTTAAGGCAATGGAGATCAACCCTTGTGTCCCATGTCAAGGCTTGCACAACTTTTGGATGACAACATGAGGCAGCCAGATGCAAGGGAGTGTTTCCATCATAATCCTTGTCATTTATCATATCTTTAACTTCATCTTTTGCATTTTGCAAGATGTACTTTATCACATTAAATTGACCCATTATAGCTGCAATGTGAATGATATTTCGACCTTTGTTATCAACTATTTCTCTGGGATTTGGACAAATTTCTAGCAATTTCTTTACCACGTCAGTATGCCCATATGCAGAAGCCAAATGAAGAGGAAAAAATCCATCTTTGTCTGTTCCCATATGACATGTATCACAACTTTCAAGCAATAACTGAACACCATGTAGGTAACCTATAGAAGCCGCATGGTGAAGAGCATTTCTTTGTTGGTGTTCCTTACCATGAATCCATTCCTTCTTTTTGTTTACTATTTTTTCTAGAATAGCTGACATATATCATGAATAACTAATTATAAGCACAATCTTGACAAAAAAATATCGAATAAATGAATTATTTAGAGAAATGAAGAAATAATAGAAAATCAATATCAAATAAACAAATATGAATGACAAAACAAATTAACCAATTACATTAATTTCTGAAATTTAAGAAAACTTGAATATTGAATAGAGATAATAGGATAACCTATATATATATATATATATATATATATATATTACAAAGTGTTTGTCTATTTTCTTTGACTAGTATTAAAATTTTATAGTAAATATTCTTATTACATTCATTAAATTTGTTAACATTACAAAGATGTCAAATTTTATTAGAAGTTATTTTTTACGAAGTTTTAATCTCTAATAAATATATTTTTCGTGTTTACGTCAGAAAAAAAACATAGTTGAAAAAAGTAAATAATTATTAGCAATTTTTGTTTAACCGTTACTAATTACAGGAATTTCTAGCTATTTGTTGAAAATTTTCAAAATCGCCAGTAGTTATAGGAATTTCAGAACTATTTTGCGGGAGTTTCCATACGACCGCTACATGTTTTAAAAGTACAAAATTTTGAAAATGGATCAATTTAATAATTAAGCTGCGATAAGTTTTGTATAAGTTGTGTAAAACATTTTTCTAATTGAATCTTTAAAATTGTCTTTATTTTTTAATGAAGTATTAATTGTGTTAAATTTTCGTTTTATAAAACTAACTACAAATGTATGCAAATATGATCATGAATATTCTCACTTTTTAAGGATATTTTTTGAACTCCTTATTCTCAATCAAAAGTATATCGTTTAAGGATCATGAATACATTTATTAGTGAATGATAATATAAAATATACAGTTATACAACAAAATTTACCTTTTAAAATTACTTCAATGGGTGGTGACGGGTCTCGTTGACTTTGTAAGAACATGTTTTCCTTTGCCATTTCAATATCCAGTCTCGCTGAGCGCCCTTTACGAGAGATGTCATCACAGTGGTAGAGCATTATTGGTTCAGTGTTGACTGCTACTAGGAATAGTCATATGACACAAGCACACACAACAAAGAATAAAGATGAGAAAATTTAGACTAGGCAAATAACTGGAAATTTTATACTAAGAGGAGAAATTACAACACTCTAAAGAATTCCTCAATTGCTTAAAAGCAAGAGAACTAAAGAAGGAAGAGAAGAGAATGGGATGAGGAAAGGGAAACCTTAACCTCTCTTTTATAACCAAAGGAGGAAGTCCCTTACAATGTTTTACTGGATGTGGGACTTCTCTCCTTCACAATCTCCCACTTGAAGATTTTGATTAAACTAATCAAATCTTCACACCACATTTGTCATCCATGTTGCTTATGTTTCCAATAGACCGTAATAGGATCGAGTCTTCCTAAACTTGTCAGTATTGACCGGCTTTGTCATGACATCTGCTAGGTTTTCATCTGTGTGAATCTTTTGCATATCAACACTTCCTTCTTCCACTACTTCCCTCACAAAGTGATATCTTATTCCTATGTGCTTTGTCCT